TCTCATTTTAATCGGAAAAATGTCAAGAATTAATTGGTAAAAGTTTGGTAACGAAAAAGTCAAAAATAAAAAAGTTTTATTCTTGTATTAGGAGTGTCCTTCTAGTAGGTCACTGTTTGTTTACGTTCAGTCTCCTTCGCTCGAAATGTAGCACCTTTACGATATACGCAAACGGCGACCGTGATATTTTTCTCTTCTGTCCTTTTCTACGTTCGGCAAGACATCAATCAATGTAGGACCTGTACGATATACGCAAAACCTCACTCCCGAAAGATTTGCTTATATAGAATATCCACTGTAATAAATGGGCACCACGTATTTATCATCGGAGTTCGAGCGCGTAGGCCCACTTTAGTGGGGTGCACAGTTTAGGACCATGGAAATAAACTTCTTAAGAAAAGGTATATTGGTGTTAGGAAAACGTGCTTTTCTGCCTGTTAGAAGGCTATTGTCAATTGTTAAGAACGTCAAGTTGTGGAGACGTTCATATGGTCTTAAATATCAGTTTAAAAATTGCAAAGGTGAAACGTTTTTGGGCTTGACAAAATACCCATAAATATTACTTTAATTATATTCCGAGCAATTCGGAACAATTGTATTAGATTAACGATTTTCGAATATTGGCCCGATATCTAATACGTAGAGGGGACTAGCAGCAGCGCCAGTTGCCTTGTTTCTGGTGCGACATGTTCCTTCGTGCGCGCAATAAAGGGAAACGTGCATCCATTCAAATCTAAATTTATTTTATTTCTTTTTCGAAACAGAGTATTATAATTTTATCTTCTTTTGTGTTTTCTATAATTCCATTCAAGTATTTCCTTTTTGTTCATTTATATTTGCGTATTTTCTTAAATAAAGAATTATTATTCCAAGAAATTGGAATTGTTTATCCTCCTAACAAGCAGAATGCGTAAAGTTGAAAAAGCACTTCAACGTTCTGTTTTCTGTTTCAGTACATATTTTTTGAGGATATACATTTAAGGTGATGTAAAACAATAACTATTGTGAATCACGATTATTATTTATATTCAGTTATCAGTTTGCATATATAAACATTGCATACAAGCCGTAATTACATTAGGAAATACACAAAAAGGTGGAATGTTATATGTTATGTATCGTAATTAGTAATGGCTTGAAGCTAATATTAATCATATCAAACATTTCCTATGTAGCAAATATTTTAATTAAAAATGAAAACAGTAAAAATATGTTACTGTTGCATTAGAATCATGTAGTTATTATTAAAAAAACCACCACTAATATTAAAAATTAAAAGAAGGTAATCAGTAAATTACCTTAGCAAACGATAATTTAAGAGGTTATAAACCACAATGTTTGTCATTGTGAACTAAACAGTTTTGACCTAACACATGTTTACACACTGGAAAGAATAATGAAGTTATTCAACTATATAAAATGTCAATTATCTTGCAAGATAAATTGCAAGAATATTGCAAAACCATTGTAGTAGTAAGCAATGCGAAAAAAATTTTTACGGTTTTTTTATCCCTAGGGCTATAATACTCACGTATGATATTGTAAAAACTTTATTTAAAGGAATATTTAATAACGAAACAATTAATAAATAATTTAATTAGATTACAAGGGAAATGCACACGTACTGTTCTATGTGAGGAAATCACTAGACTAATCAAAAATAAAAAAAATGTACATAGCAATGATGCGTTCTTTTGAATGAAACACGGCGCCGCTTGCATCTCCGATGACTCCGTTCGCACACAACACAAGCAATGTCCACAATCCCTATCGGGTCACTCAAGTAATCCGGCCAATATATGCCTACAATATTTTAAATATATTTATAAAAATATATGTATATGCCAACTTTTTCACTAAAAATTTCTCATTTCAAAATCACTGAACAAACAAAATTATATTTGTAATGTTTTTTTTAAACATATTTTGCAGATAACGAATTTTTAAAAATTGCAGAAACTAGTAACAGACACATTATTGTACTAATTTTTAATGATGCAATCATTTATATAAATATTTTATTTCAGATTACATTAACTACCGCTGTTATTATTATTATGATTTTAACAGATATCATTTTAATATTTTTTTTACATACAACTTACATGTATGTAAGAGAAAGTGGGAAAAGACAAAAGCTGATCTAATAGTGGACTTGGTCTACTACTGGAATAGTTATCTTATAAAAGAAAGTTATAATTTGTAGACTATTCTGGGTTAAGAGGTAGGAAAAATCAATTAAAGGCCGACAACGATTTAAATAATAGGTACGGAGAAGGTTTAATGTTTCCAAGTAAGAAAAATTCTAAGCAGAGACTCTCTCATATACAAAAACCACGCGCACTGTGCACATTTCTGGCGTGTGCTTCCGTACGGTGACGACACTTCGGCGGACCGGACTGTCGAAGCGAAAGGGTTAAAAAAACACAATATTATAGGAAAATCAGGAAAACGAGCGGAATAGGTAAAAAAATAACGGATTAAACGCAATTTAACCAATGGATGCCTTATTTATTCCTGTGACGTGTTGCCACGGTCACAGTCGGCACAAGAATGCCTTCTCGGCAAAACCCTGGCCGTGAGGACACCAACATCACCATGGCCCTTAGAAACTAAACATTGTATTCTAGCCTCATAAACTTTCCCTTGCGACCCGGACAGCTCTCTGACGAAGCACACATGGCCTACTCTCGTCCGATGCATCTACCTAAACTCTAAATTTCTAACAATATTTTCTAAAGTAACTTTCATAAAAATTTTGGAATTTAGATAAAATGTTTGATGTTTACTGTATGAGTATAAATTTGAATCTGTTGTCCGTTGCTAACGTTTCCTTTGTTATTTTGGTGTCAAAATGATTATTTTTAATGTAACATATATGAATGAATAGCATACGAAATAGCTTTTAAAAAGTATATTTACTCCCTTATTTACAATAATATAATATAACTAAACTATTATTTCTTACGAACACAGATAAGATTATAATCGGAAAATCATTCATACGGCCTATCGTGTG